TATTAAAATATTACATATTGTTTATGTTATACTAAAATTTTAAGTAAAAGGTTCTTAATTTAATAATAATTAAGATTTTAGTTTAATTTTAAAATTATATTTTTAATTTAAAGGTGTGGCCCCTTTCCCCCCTACTACTGTTGCTTTTTATAAATTACTCTTACTTTTGAAATAATGTTAAATTTTGAAGTTTTTAAAATTTTTTTCTCTTTTTGCCAACAACCAAGGAAACGAAGGAAATCTTTGCAGAATAATAATTCCCAGCCTACCTTTCCCGATCAAGAGAAGTCATCATACTTGTAATTTGACTTTTACGCCCATTTATATTAACGAAATGCATGCAATTAAATCCCAAAATTCTTCAAGCTCTTTTCTTTTGCTTACTTTTTGAGCTCCTTATTATTTTTCTCTCTTGTTTTCTTTTTTGGAACTTTCCTGTTTCCTGATTTAAAGACGTTGCAGTCCATTAAGAATGTTTTAACGCGTACATGTCAAAATTTTTGATGGTTCAGTGCGATGATGATGGCGTCGGTGTCGTTGCCGGTGTCAATGTCGGTATCAGTGTCGGCGGCATTGTTCCTTCTTTTGCTTAAAAGGTTTAAACAACAACAAATTTGAGTTCTTTTTCGAGGCGGTAATGTATCATGTTTACGTAAATAATTACGCTATATGCGAATTTGTTTATTTATTTGTGGCACGGCGAGGGTGCTGGCCGGTTGTTCCTTAAGATGCATTGATATGCAGATACCTTTATATTAAACTTCTTCTTCTTCATTTATTTACTCGTATTTACTTATTTAGGTTTTTAGTGTTTTATTCTTAAAATTCACAAAATGTCAGTTTCGTTGTTTTATTTTCAGTCTTTTAATCTTTTTTGAATTCTGACAGCATTTCTCGTTCTGAATCGAAATTCATTAGTCATAAGGTAAACGAGTGGTGTTAACTTTTTTTGTACTTTTATGTAATTATATTGTCTGAGCACTATATTAATATGTATATATACTTGTATTTTAAATAATTCTTATATTTGCATTGTTATTTGCATTTCCGTTGTATAAATCAATCATTTTTTTCAAACACTATACAATAATTTTTATAAATATTTTCCACAGACTGCACCACTGACAAAATACTAAGAGTTGAGCGTACTTTGTGGGACGTTAGTGATAACAGTTTGACATTTATCGTTGTATGTGTTTCTTAATCAATGTAATTTTCTATATATACATATGTATATGTATGAGTGTCTCATTGTGTCTAAAGTGATAAGCGGGATTACCATTGTTTTATTTTTGTTTCAATAGATAAAGTTAGTTCTAGAACTGCAATATGCTAGCACAATCACTGCTTAGTATTTTAAATAATACTATTCTGAAGTTATAAAAAACAATGATATTCAGATTTATTTGGTGTGTGGATAATAACTTATGAGAGTGAAAAGATAGGGGACCTATGAAATATAGTCAAGTTTTTCTTGTGTATGATGACTTAAAAGCATAAAAATATAAAGGGTTCCAAGCCTTTTTCACATATATAATATTTTTATATTAAACTCTCCGATTCTGAACAATGTTAATTGTTAAGGACCTCTAGTTTTTTGAAATGAAAATAGTGCTTCTTTACCTGTAAAATATTTTTATATCAAACTCTTTCCGATTCTGAACAATGTCAATTGTTAAGTTCCTATTAAGTTTCTTGAAATGAAAACATTGCTTCTTTACCTATAAAATATTTTTATATCAAAATCTCGCCGATTTTAAACAATGTCAATTGTTAAGAACGCCTATTTTCTTGAAATGAGAACAGTACTTTTTTATAAAAAAAGACAAATAAATGATATGATTTTTTTTTAGCCTATTTAAAGCCTAGTGTGGGGTAGAGATAAGCCCCCCAGCCATTATAAAGTAAAAATGCGTAATAGCACTAACTCAATAAGAAGAAGAATCAAGAAGAACAGTTTCTTTTTTACCTATAAAATATTTTTATAGCAAACTCTGTCCGATTCTGAACAATGTCAACTGTCATGAACCTCTAGTTTCTTGAAATTAGAACAGTACTTTTTTATTTATAAAATATTATTATATTATTTAATATAATAATAGTATATATAGTATATATATTATATAAAACTTTGCCCCATCCTGTACACCTTTAATTGTTAAGAACTTTTAATTTCTTAAATTGGAAACAGTTTTCCTCTATTTATAGAATATTTTTATATCAAACTTTGCCCCATTTCGAACACCTGGTATTTACCTGATTATGATACTGTAGTTGCATTAATGTCATCACATATTCTAACAATTTTATGTACAGCAAGTTTACTAAACAATCTATTAAGATTTTTTATTGCTCTGAAGCATTTAGTAACTATTTTAAATATCCAAATAACTCTATACAAACTTCCATTTAAAAATTTTTGAATATATATTCATATTTGCTTAAAAATTAGTATGCAAGTTTCTAACTTCCAGTTTCGTAGCTTTTAGCTTAACCTTCACTCATAGAATTCTTGTTATTTAAAAAAAAAAAACAGCTTATAAAACATAGAATGCGTTGCATTAACATTTGAAAAATATTTAGACATTAAATATTGATTAAAACCAAACAAAAATCAGCAAAAAATCAAATAAAAAAAAAGTATCTTAAAAATAAATCGTCGCCATTCATTACGTTCAAAATTTTGTGTGGCAGCTCAGCAAAAATTAACTCATCGTTTATCGATATTTACAAAACACTAAAAAGTCGAAAAAAAGCAAAAATCACATAAAAAGACAAATTGTTTATTTTATTGGTTTTACTTGCAAATTTTTTAGATAAATGACCAGGGTGTAACGCATAGCTTAGCTACAAAATTCAATTTAAAAATACAGTGTTTCCAGCTGATAACGCATCCGGTTTGTGCAAATAGCTGAGTGTGCAATGAAAATAGAACTGACACTATCAGAAAGCAGCCAATTGTTTGAAGTAGTAAATGCAGAGTTCTTAGAATATTTATAGATTACCCATAAGTATGTGTCTTTACCATGAAACTGTTGAGACGAATGCCGAGTTCGCTGTAGTGTGGGTAATAGAATGCAATCCATTCATATGCAATCCATTTACATTTTAACTAGGCTCCACTGTAGCTGTTGTACATTCAATTTAAACAATGTTTTCTAGTAATTATTTTTCATAAAAGTTAATTTGCAAATATAAATAACGACAACAGCCTTAGCCGCAGTCACAGCCACAACTACAGCTACAGCTACAGCCGTGGACGCAGCACCTAACAACAATTTTAATTAGTTACAAAATAAATGTATGAATGAAATCAAGAAATATTGTTTTTGCGTTTGCGCACATTCCTATGGAATTACATCATGTTTTGTGGACATAAGCAATAAACCAAGAGCAGTTCCAGTATTGGTACGTGGCTTAGTAGTGCCCGACAGTAGTAGTCTTCTGACATAGGCAGATATTTGCGCAGCTCTTCGTAGTACGCTGACACATATACTCAGCATACACCACACCAAATACTGCTTCAGAGATGAAAAACAAAAACAAAAACAAAAACAATAACAAAAATAAAACGAATAATAAATTTACTTTAGTGTTGTGAAACAAGTTTTAACACAACAACTGTGTACAACTATCCAACAAGTTCATTTAAATTAACTTATATTATTGCGCCATACTCTACTCTACTCGTACTCTCGACTCTATAGTATGTTAGCCAGTGTACATTAGAATCTATGTTAACACATGTACAGACACCAAAAGTATGCATAGATTTGAATATTAACAGGCGATAAATGTGACGGAGAGACTTAGAGTCTTAAAATCTGTTTTTGTCTTTATTAATATTATTTACTTCTGTTCTTTCAACGTATCAGATTCTATAGAAAAATTTATTTGTAAATATAAGTTGAATAGGCCAGAAATCAATTGTGATGCTCAATAATATTAAGTATTAAAACAAGTTATTAGTACAGATTAATTTAAAAGAACATCAGTATTAAATAAAGTAAAAGAAGCAGACGACCGACTGAATGACTTACTTTTTGATAATCCTTTGATCGAAATTTTGTGAGACTAAAATGAAACGTGTGACAGATATTCGTATATCAAAATAACTTTTGAACGGCAACATTTTAGGTAGTTTGACCAAAAAGATAGAAATATTTCTATGATAATTTCACAGTAAGTCATTGCTAGATATTGCCTTAGAGTCATTGCCTTAGATTAAAATACATACTAAAAGCATGCATCTGACAGATACTTCTGTATCAAAATAACATTCGAACGACAACATTTTTGGTAAATTAACCAAAAACATAGATATATTTCTATCTTTGACTTCATACTCAGTCTTTACTAGAACACATAATGAATATGTATACAAAAATAGCCCTATAACAAAATAACGACATATTCGGTAGTTTCACCAAAAACATAGAAGTATTTCTAAGTATAACCATCCTCTTTGAATTAAGACTCATTCAATGCTAAATATACTTTAAATTGGAATATATACTAAAACTGTACGTCTAATAAATAACTCTATGTCAAAATATTATTCGAACATCATTTTTGAAAGTTTGATTATAAACAGAAATTTTTCTATGTTTTGCTTGGACAGTGCCAAAAACATAGACATATAATTTATTTATTGACAATTCATTGCTAGATATGATCTGGATTTGAAATAGAATATAATCATTTAAAATTTTTAATAATAATGTTTAATATAAAAAACCTAGGTTGCAACCAAATTGGTGAAAATGTCTTAGCAACTATAACTATTTTCAATACCAAAGAGCATGGCCTCGTTTTCATTGTCTCAAAACAAAATAGCAAATCAAATTTTTCTTATATGTATTTAATCTAAGCTCAAATGAAATTTTATATAAATATTGGAAATTATTAGTAGGCATCAATGTCTAACATAAATTGATTGAAGAAACAAAATAAACATGTAGAGATCTCAGTATCAATCTATAAGTTAAACATGAATGTAGTTTATTTGTAGGTGTTTGCGAGGAGTGTGGTGCCATAACAGTAAATTATTGCTAATTATATTATATGAGGTGGGAGGTGATCAGCCACTGCAACCAACCATGAGCTAAGTAACCCATTTCATCCATACCAAAGAAGTTTGCTCCAAGAATCCAGGTACAATTATTTATAAACACTATTACCTTATTTATAAAATATTTTTATATTAAAATCATCTATATTTTTACCCACAAATTATGATCAACAGATTTCGTCTATTTCAAAGAAATTATTTCTAAAAATCAAGGTATAGGTGTATAAAATATTTTTATATCAAACTCTTTTCATCCGTCTACCGTAAGATAAGAAACCGATTTAGTTCATTTTAAAGTAACTTACACCACGAATCAGAGCTGAGTTTTTTATCTAGAACAAAAGAAAACATATATGGAGTATAAAAAAAATTTAAAGAAAAAGAGAAAGAAAAGTTAGTTAAGCAAAGATACAAGTACAGATGAATGGATGTGTATATAGATGTGTATATCTCCAACACCATCTGCTAAATGATGTTTCATTAAATGATGTTAAGGACTTATACATTAATTATACTATTGCTATCAATTCTCAAATATAAAAATATTTCCTATATATCTCTTAGTATAAATTATGTGTGTAATATTGACATTTTCATATTTTATCGCTATTTTTAATCAAAAAATGACAAATTTTTAAAAAATATTTTTTCTTTTTGCTTTAATTAACATATAAGATAAATTTACTATGTTTTGCGATAAAGTCATTAATTATTATAGGTATGTTGCTTTCATATATATTTTGCAGACATGATATTTTATCTTGTTAGCTGATGATAAAAACAGATCTTAAAATATTTGTATACAAAATTTTTAGGCTCTATTTTTGTACATTAACTTATCTCATTAAGAATACACAAATCATTAATTAAGCAGATATTAAATTTTAACAAATTTATACATGTTTGCTTAATTAATTTAAATTTATTACAATAAAATAATTCGGGGAAGTGATATTACATTTATTGTTAATATTTTGTTTTGTTTTTACATGTTTTGAAAATTTCTACATGAACAAACAAATTCTAATTTTAATATATTATTTGAACGTGCTGCTTAACGATATATTACAAAATATAATTTCTATACGTAGATAGATATTTGTTTCGCTGTTTACTACAAAATATTTAATGTGCATGTGCATATGTTGTATGGCATAATTTCGTAAGAATATTAAAAATACTACACATTTTCTGTCAACGTAAAAACTTGTTACCCGCCTTCTACGGAATGTGGATTTATACATTTTTGCTACTTTGTTTATTTTTTTATTATTCACTATGCATACTAGCTGCATTTTTCTATCATATTTTCACTGCTGTAGCCGATATCTGAAAATCTAACAGCCATCTTACAAATATGTTAGCTTGTTCTGTTACTTACATTGTGCATCAGCACACAACAGATTTGGTGGCAGACAACAAAACTAATGGCCTGTCAACAGCTGCAACTTTGAGGCAACTTCTCCTCAGTTGCCGATGGCTGATGATGGGCTTAATGCAACATCGATAAGAAATCGGATTATGTGGCATTATGTTTGGAAATTTAATTAACATAATTAACATATTTTTAGTTTGTTACATAGATTCAATTATGCTATTAATTTAATTATCTGCATCTGTAAAATCAAGCGGTTTAAGTATCTCCAAGCAATGGCTATTGTGTTGATTTTACTTATTTATATTGATTTATTGCAATTATTTTAAGATTTCAGTTTAATTGAAATTTTTTAAATTAATTATAGAAAATTTATTCAAAACACATTAAATCCAAAAATTATCTTTGATTCATTAAAATTTAATACATTTTTTTATAACCAATAAAATATTATTAACTTCATAAATTTTATATAGCGGCACATGCCTAAATGGGTCCATGTGGCGGTTAACGATAGCATCAATAACATCAATATAGGTTAATATTGGTATATATTATATATTTAAATTTAAAATTCTAAAAATACTTTTTGTGTATTTGATTTTAACAAAATGATTTCATACAGTTTTTTTTCTAATATATTAATCAGAAGTTTTAATGATAACATTAAGATAATTGAACTGTAAGATATTTTAAAGCAAAATATCAAATAATGAAACTCAATATATGTATACATAAGCCTACAATATTACTTATTTAAATATTTAAATATATTTTAGTTTAAGTATTAGGTAATTATTACTTATTATTATTATTAGTTACTTATTATTAGTATTAGGTAATTACATTTATTAAAATATTTAACTGATTAAAAATATAAAAGTATATTTTTATTTGTTTTAAAATTTGTTTTATTAAACAATTGATTACTCACAGATCTGTGAGTAAAGAGTAAACTCATTTTCCTTGGCATTTAAACTATATCAAACATAATAAAATTAGTAAAAATATCTTTAATATATTTCAGTCCAATCTTATATGATTTTCTAAATTATATATTATTGCTTAGTAATGTGACATCCTTGAACATTTGCCAAAAAGATTTGTATATTTATTTATCTTATATTTACGTTTACGTCAAGCGTACATTTGCACCTAAAAACATAAACTAATTTTATAATTCAATCAAAAGAATCTATATTTAGGGATATTCAAATATTCATAAAAATTCATTTAATATATTTGCAACAAAATTTATTGAATAACTCGCTTCTGTTGTTTATTTTTTATACAATATATTTTTATATAAAGAACCTTTTTATATGAACATTAAATTAGTAATTACAACAATCTTGTGATATAACATATTACGTATACTAGTATACGTATACTAGTTACAACTAAAACCTACGTGTTTTCCATTATTAATAGTTTTATAATAGTTTTTTTGAATGCTGCAACTGTTATATTAATATAGTTTAAACGTTTAAAATCCGTAATCTATTATTATTATTGTTAAGAGATGTGGCACTGCGACCGTCGGATCTATTGTGACCCCTTCTGGGTTTAGAGTAGGTCTCTAAGCACTATTACGTCAATTAAAAGTAGTATAGAATACTTCACGACTTCAACATCTATAGTTTGTGGCGCTTGGTCTATTCGAATGTTGAATCTAAAGTCGTTTACGATTGGCAAATCTAAGGTAACTTTTTCACCAAAGATTTACTTTTAGTGCAATTTTCAATTTCGATTGCTTTTAAGCAAAATGTATAATACTCGAGATATTTTATAACGTTCTAAATATTTTGCCCGATTAATAATATTACCCTGAAATTAAGTAATTTTATTTTATCTGACAATTAAAATGTATTTGATATTGTGATTACTCTAAATAGGATTACCCTATTCGATTAGGCCACAAAACTCAAGCAAAATATGACAGATTGGAAACAAATCTAAATTTGTCAATCGAAAACAACATAAAAGAATGGGTATGTACAGTATGTACCCTCATAGTTTAGTTGTGTGACAAAGTTATACTAATTACGATATAAATATCCTGACTTTAGTCAGTCTTGCAGTCACTATTCAAGTTAACGCAAATAAACAACAGTCGAAGTAACAGCTATTAGCACTTAAAAAACAAAAATGTAAACGACAAAAACATCAAAATTAAAGCATAAAAAATGAAAACAATTTTGAATGATTAAATAATGAAAATAAACTCAAATTCAGAAAAGTGTGTAAAAAAAATTTTCATATTCTAATGTAAGAAACAGGGATTTCATGAAATAATATTTAGGCAGTAATTAAACAAAGTTGATGACAGAGTAAATCCCCTCAGTTCATTTTCGCATACAAAGAGTGCGGAAATAAAATCAAATATACAACTGTCAAAGCACCAGCTATCAGCACTTAAAAATGAAAACGTAATAAAATTTACGTAACACTGAAAAAAAATAGAAAATAGAAAGTGCTTCAAATGAAATATATAAAAATAAATCTTAATAAAAAAATGCAAAGTAAATAACTTATTTACTTTGAGTTAAGCCTTTTGTATAAATATTTTTATTATTAATAAAATTAGAAGCATGGATTTTATTTCAAAGAATAAAATCAAAATAATAATTTTATATATAAACTATATATTTAAAATATTTTAAATATGTGTATAAAATTAGAAATAATGATATGGGTTCCAGGAAATCACATCAAAACAATTATTAAATATTTACTCGTATACTCGTGGTTCTATATTCCATAAAATAACACATATCACTTCAATAGTTATTCGTTTGAGTTCTTTTTTTTTTTATTGTTAAAATATGCAAAAATATATAATTTTATCAGCAGTTGCATTATACGTAAACAGGCGAATTACAAACTGATAAAAGCAGCTAGAAAATTGTAAAATGCATTTATGTAAATCTACTTTTAGTACTCTCGCTCTTCTCGCTTAGTTCCTTCAAAGACGAAAAATAAAATAAAATAGAAATATAGAAAAATTAAAAATAATTTGCAATACTAAAAAATGCATAAAAGCGAATGGCCAGCGATCGTTTGCGATGCCACAAAGAGTGACTTTTATTTAACAGTTCGAACCCTAACAGCTGCTACAGCTGCAGTTGCAGTTACAGTTCTATCTGTAGCTGTGCCTGTGAATGTGGCTTCTATGAGTTTGCAGCATTCATTCTCCACTGATTCTTAGTTGCATTTATGAAATTCATTCTATCAAGGCATTGCAATCTAATCGTTTGTTTTTGTTGTTTATGGCAAACAGAGCGTATCAGCAATGTTTTGTAAAAATAATTATTTTGCGGCTTTTTGTCGTTCGACAAGTTCTTTTGCACAATCTACACTACACTGTTGTAGCGGTTTAGAAGGATATTTTAATGGATACTGGCAAAGATGTAAATATGTATATGTGTGACTAATAAAAGTACTTATAATAAAGAGCATGATAAACTGTGCTAAATCCTCCCCATTTAACTGTAAGTTCTTCAGTAAATGTTTTAATAGACCACAACAATACTTCAACAACGTAACTCATTGTGGTGAAGTACTTTAGGTTAAACATGCATTAAGACCACATGGATGAAGGAAGTGCAGTTTACTGTTTTCGCTAGCAAACGAAGTCAATGAAGCGTTTCTTGAATTAATCAAAAAAAATTAGAATATTTATTATATA